TTTTACAGTGATAGTAATTGATTTAATGTCAAGTAATGAGAACATGTCTGTAAATTATTATTGCATAAGCTGCTGTTGCTTGAGGAAGAAGGAGAACTTTTGGATTTTCTAAGCTGGACAGGAATAGCAGGTATTATTTGTTTATGGGCACATTTTTTTCCTTTTACTTTAAGGACTGAGTTATTAATATTGTGCTTAGAAGTGTCCAAGAATATAAAATAGTTTTTAACAAGCAGCACTGATTGCCTTGTACACTCACACTGTGCTCCATAGAGGCCACCTACTTTCATTTTGGAGTGACATCAAGGAGATGGGACACTTCTCTTATCTCAGGTTGAGGAGAGCTCAGGCCATCACTGCAATCACATCTATAAAGTTTTTCTTTAGAATGACTAAGGTATTAAAAATCATCCTTTATCCCCTTGAGTAGGCTGTTCTACAGATGTGAATCAAACTGCTTCAGGTTCTTCTTACAAAATGGCCTCAATGTCTTTGTCAAATCCAAATCTGTTGTGTGTAATCTTCCATGCTACTGTGCCAAAGCATTCTCTATCACAATAACAGTCGTCCCTCCCATATCCACAGATTCTTTATCCATTGATTCAACCATCCATGGCTTGAAAATATATAAATTATATCCCAAAAGATGTAAATTCAAAAAAGCAAACCTTGATTTTGCTACTTTATATAAGGGACACCATTTCGCTATGCCATTGTATAAAATGGGCCTTGAGCATCCATGAATTTTGGTATTTGTGAGGGGTCCTGGAACCAAACCCCAGTGGATACCAAGGGCCCACTGTATATTCAGAGTTGTGTGGTCTGTAGGCTGGTGCAGGACTATGGGCCATTATGGACAGATTTCCAGGAAACTGTACTAATAAGTTAATGGCTGCATCCATACTGCAGAAATAAACTCGGCTGCTCCACTTTAATTGCCATGGCTCAATGCTGTGGAATTCTGGGAACTGTAGTTGTGGCACCAAAGCTCTCTGACAGAAAAGGTTAAATAATTCACAAAACTACAAATTCCAGAATTCCATAGGAGGAGGGCAACTAAAATGGTGAAGGGTCTGGAAACCAAGCCCTATGAGGAACGACTTAGGGAGCTGGGGATGTTTAGCCTGGAGAAGAGAAGGCTGAGAGGTGATATGATAGCCGTGTTTAAATATTTGAAGGAATGTCATATCGAGGAGGGAACAAGCTTGTTTTCTGCTGCTCCAGAGACTAGGACCCGAAACAGTGGATGCAAGCTGCAAGAAAAGAGATTCCACCTCAACATTAGGAGGAACTTCCTGACACTAAGGGCGGTTCGAGAGTGGAACACACTCCCTCGGAGAGTAGTGGAGTCTCCTTCCTTGGAGGTCTTTAAGCAGAGGCTGGATGGCCATCTGTCGGGGATGATTTGATTGGGAGTTCCTGCATGGCAGGGGGTTGGACTGGATGGCCCTTGTGGTCTATGATTCTATGATTGCCAGGTGGATTGCTGCTCCATCACAACAGATAGCTTGAGAAGTTCTGCTCTATCATATTTAAGCACAAGTCATTTGTATGCATATTGCTGGTTTTTAACCTCCCATCTTTGTCTGTCCTCAAATGAGTTATCAGTCTTCATTATTCTCTCATTCTCAACTTGACTCAGCTAAGGTACCTATAAATAAGCAACCAGCTGGTCTTCTATGAGCGCTACTTAGGATTCTGATCACAGTGACTGTTGGTGCCTCTTATCCATCTGGTTTATACACCTGGTGTCTTTTTGTTCAATTTTTAGAATAGCTTTGGATGTCTAATGAATGTAAGGGAGTAAAAGCCCAGTGAGTTGCACTTCAATTTCCATAGTTTGGATTAAACATTGAAAGCTGGATATGGTCTTTTTGTGTATACGTTCTAGTTCAGAGTTATGTTCTTCCAAAGGAAGGCATGTGAGCTTTGGACATTTGTTACAAAAGGTAGAAGAAGGGCACAGCTGGCTGTGCTTCACCATTGTCACACCTTGTATCAAACATCTGAAGCTACTCTGAGACTGTTCTCCTTGAAAGCAATGTATTGACCAAGATGTTGTTTTAATGATGTGGGAGCATTTACAGTTGGTTTACAATTATATGGCCCCTTCCAGCATATAGTGAGGGAATGTGCATCCCTCCAAATGCTCTTGGATTGCAACTGCCATAAGCATAGCCCTGGCCAGTAATGTGGGATGATGGGAGTTGCAGTCAAGTGCAAACTGCACTCTACTGGAGAGAGACATTTTCTCTGGCCTAGTTGATGCTGCTCTAAAGATCATAGTTGTGAGTCTCATTGAAAAACAGAAGTGGTCTTTTTTGCTCTTTTCTTGGAACCAATTGAACTATATGTCAGTGCCACAGATGGTCTGCACATATTTTTGGAGGCAGACACTGGCAGGTCAATAAACCCAGGAAAATACTGTGCAGTCTGGAACAAACTCATTTAATTGATCTCAGCTAAGGTCAGAGAAACTGCTGGAAAAGTGTTACAGTGATAGCATCTTGCACCTATCCAAATCACCCATGCTGATATCAGCAAAAGCCTTTTGTGAACTGATGAATGATTTGAAATACTATTTATTATATAGTGGTACTGATTCTGTGGAGAGCCAGCATAGTGTAATGGTTTGAATACTGCATTATGACTGGAGACCAGGGTTCGATTCCCTGCTTAGCCATGGAAACCCACTAGGTGACCTTGGGCGAGTCACACACTCTCAGTCCCAGAAAACCCCATGATAGGATGGCCATAAATTGGAAATGACTTGAAGGTACAGAAGAACTGGTTCTGTGGCATTGTTATGTTGAGACTTTGCTTTTCAGGAAGTTAGATAAAATACACAATATACACACACACATTTAAAAGTAAGAACCATTTAACTCAGTGGGATTTACTTCTGAATAAAATTTAATGCAATGGGTTATACCTCAATAAAAATAAATAGGATTGCTGTGTTATTATTTCCTTGATCTGTTTACAACTACTTGTTCAAAACTTTTGCAGCCCTAGAAAACAAAACAAAAAAACAACAACAAAAAAATCCAAGCTACATAGTATGTATTAGGGTGGAACTTGAGCATCAAATTCATCTCTCCAAGCAGTCGGCCAAACCTTAATTTTTCCAAGTCAAATAACATTCTTTTGCTTCCTAACTTTGCAGTAAATTTCATGTTTTGCTGTAAGCTCTTATTAAATGTGCTTTTTACAGGTTGCTTTTTCCTCTGAGATTTGGCTTTCTAATAACTGTCTTGAATGAAAAAGTTAAAATGATATAACATGTCGTTTGGACTATCCATTTTTGTTTAATAAACTCTTACTCATTATGTATTTTAAATCACATGTATTATGTATAAAATGTAATGCTATGAGCTATGTTCCCTTCTGTGCCATTGTGATGTTTTGTTTCCACAGTGATCCAAGACATATGAAAACAAAAATCTCTCAGACCCCTCCCAAACAGCCGCCTAACTGCGTCATCATTTTGGTATTGAGCCTGAGAGTGCCACGTCAATACTTGGAACATGGTAGTGATGGTCAGCACATCTTGTGACCAAAGGAAGACTGCTCATTTACAGAGAGTTTTTGCTGCTTGTGCAAAAGAGTCACAGCCCTGGGGAACCTTTGGAACCTTCACTGCTGCAAAGAATCTGGTCAGGAATACTTTTCTTCCCTCTTCCTCCTCATAGATCAAGACTAGACAGTGCTATTCATGATCACTAGTCATGAGTTACTTGAAAACTGAGGATGACCCTCCAAATATTGTTGAACTTAGTTTTTAGTGGGTTTTTTGGGCTGTGTGACCATGTTCTAGAAGAGTTTCTTACGTTTTGTCAGCATCTGTGGCTGGCATCTTCAGAGAATGCTGGAATGGAAGATAGTGGGTCCATTCCAGCATTCTCTAAAGATGCCAGCCACAGATGCTGGCAAAACGTATGAAAGAAATTATTCTAGAACATGGCCACACAGCCCGAAAAACCCACAAAAAACTATGGATGCTGGCCATGAAAGCCTACGACTTCACATTGTTGAACTTGCTTCTCTCAGCCTGTCAGAACCAGCGGATTCAGTTTCCAATAACCAGGAAAACATCTTTGACAGAAAACAAAATACTTTTTTTCTGGACATCAGGACAGAAATGACCAGTAGAGTGTTTTGCTGAAACTGAGGTCCCTTTCCCATACCATAGCATTAGAATTCAAACTATTCCGCCCCCCCCCCCCTTTCTGACTGTCGGCACCCAGCCTTTGGTCCCAATCAAACTAAATTCCAACAGCCCTTTCTTCCTCTACATCCCAGGACCATAAACCTTTTCACTCTGCTTACTGTTTGCCCTCCTGCCATTTTCCCTTTCTGCTACTTTCCATTCCCAGACATATACGTGATTCATGCATATAATTCAGTATTCAATACACCTCCATATTTCATACATACATCCTTTCCAGTAAACCATACCAATCATGACAGAACCATGCCCATGGATTCTGACAGCCCTCACCAATCCAACCAATGGGCTGGATTGGTGGGAGTCATGGTTCATTAACATCTGGGAGCTGAAGTTACCATTGCTGGTGTATTTACCACATTTTCATCCTGCTCTTCCTTTGAGTTGATCAGTTGATCCTTAATAATCCAGTGAAAAAAAATTGACTTGGGCTGGATAAGTTGTTAGTGAGTAGCCACAGGTCACCCTGTGAGGTTCATCGCTGACTGAGAATTTTGAATGAGGATTTCCCTCTCTACATGTTTTTGTTGTGCACCTTCAATTGACTCCACCTTATGGCAACCCTATCCTGGGGTTTTGCTTGTCAAGATTTATTCGGAGGAAGTTTGGCATTGCCTTCCTTCATTTCCTCAAGGCCATCCAGTGGGTTTCCATGGCTAAGCAGGGACTTGAACCTTGGTCTACCAAAGCTGTAGTCCAGCATTCAAACCACTACACCACACTGACTGTCCCTCAAGAGTACAATGTATGTCAAGCTCCAAATGAGGCTGTTCTTTGTTTCAAAGCTGTGGGGGTGTGATGGGACACAGAACTCTGTATCCTGAGTAAGAAGGAGAAAAAGATGGCAATAACAGCAGTTCATTTCATTATTTTTCCATAGTGGTCATATTTAAGGGATCCACCCATTAGATGCAGAACTCTCCAGATTCTTATAGGTGGCCATTTTTCTCAAATTTTGGTGGCAATCTTTAGGAACAGATGCTGCCTTTGTGATTGTATACCACCTGTGTGCACCAAATCTAAAAACAGCATGCACAGAGATAATGATAGTGGGTGCCTGATGATCATGTAAGTGTTTCTTTAGAGATTTATGCAACACCAGGCCTAATTATGTCCCTAAAATATTGTAGTTTCTACAATAACTAGCGGTGAGGAAGGATTTCGTGATTAGCGGTTAGATAGACAATTTGGGAAGGGGTATATATGGCCTAAATAACCTAAAGGCACCCGGTCCCATCTTGAAGGTAAACAGTCAGCCCTGGTTAGTACTTGGATGGGAGACCACCAATGAATATTAGCTGCTGTAGGCTACATTTGAAAGGAAGGAACTGACAAAACCACTTCTTGATTATTCCTTGCCTAAGAAAACCCTATGAAATCCTTGGGGTTGCCATAAATCAACAGGTGACTTGAAGGTACACACACTCATGCAGTAAAGATTTTGTTTCACTTATTTAATTGTGTGTTTCTGAGTGTTGTTAACCTGTACTCAAGTTTCAAGATAAAGATGGCATAACTTCTCTCTGTGGTACAAGAACCATTCTCTGGACATACAGAATTTCTGGGAAACAGATATTTTATAGGATGTTATTTTTAGTGCACATGTAATAACAAAGTGAAATTAAATCAAATATATTGTAGTTTCATTTATTTGACATGGTCTTTTGAAATTACACAGTATTTGCAGAAAGACTTGCTGTCAAAATAATGATGTTGGAAACATGAATGAAAGGGGAGATGACACCTGAATCCCACAGAAATTAATGGGAATGGGAATAGATTAGCTCTTGTGCATTTCCCATACACTTCAGTTGGTGTTGAACAAAATAACTCCTTGGTGGATGCCCTCCAAATGATTGTTGCATTTAACAAAAACATGAATTATATTCATTATTTATTTATTTCCAGTTAGGTCCCTGTGTCTTTCTTCCACTTTCAGACTGATTAAAAAGATGGTGGATGCACATACCTGGGATCAGGGTGGGAGTTGTGTGCCTCTCCAGATTTTTTTACTGAATCACAACTCCCAGTGCCCCATTCAACATAGCCAAAAGTGAAGGATGATGGGAGTTCTAGTTCAGTAACATCTAGAGTGCTGCACAATTACCAATCCTGTTTCAAGCAGCCCCACAAACCAAGGCTGACAAAGCCAGATAGTGACAGAGAATGTAACTTTAATAAGTTGATCTTAGGAAATTACAACTTTGTACTTCTGAGGACAGCCACCAGAGAGCACTGCTTGAGAAGCAAGTATGTTCGGCATTGCTTCTTCCATATTTAGGTAGCATGCTGCCCAAATCACCATATGTGAGTTCTGGTCTGATAAGGATCAATGTTTGGAAATGTTACCTTTTGGACAACAAGTCCCAGAGTACCATAGGCATCATGGCCAGTATTTTTTTAAAGCACCGATGGAGTATATTGTGATGTATGTGAGGATGGGATACCAAGAGGTTTCAGCAGCTTTGCGCACTTACCAAACTGTATTGTTGGGTAAAGAGTGACAAGTGACAAGACAGATATAAAGTAATGGGGGTGGTAGATTTCAATGGGTGACTGCAATGTGTGTTGTACAGCTGTGGTGGTAAACTCTGGAACCATGGGTTTGTGTTTGGTGAGAGGCTGTATTTTATAAATTGGGATTTGATTTTCAAAAGAGAATGAATGCCTTGCTTTGTTCATTAAGGATAATATGTATCTTTGATTATAATCATTATGAATGGTAATCTTTGATTATCTATGATTTGTCTATGATTTCCCCCAATTAAGATTCTGCATTGACCAGACTTTGCAGCAGCCTTCTGACCCATTCTGAACTCCAGTGCATAAATCAACAACCAGTTCTCCCCTTAAGATTTGAAAGGCTCAGAAAATAGTGTCTTTCAGGTGTTCAGACTAATTCCTAGGCCTGATTCAGAAATCCTTAAACCAGACCTGTAAGCCATATTAATAGCCCCAAATTGCTGATGAGAGATTAAACCGAAGGCAGATGCTTAGTTACTTTTAGTGTGTGGCTGAGGTGAAGTTTCAAAGGAACACTTAGATCTGATGCGTTCACTTCTTTGTGATTAATTAATTATCTTTATAGAATCAAGCAGTCATTTTTTACTAAGTCTTCTAGGGCTTGTTGAGATCGAGGCTAAGGGGGACTAGTATCTTACTTTGACATAAATCTGCCTTGGGAACATAACAAAGATTTTCTGCATTATGTGCTAATGACTCAGCTTCAGATTTCCTCTAATCTTCACTGCCTTTTGTATGATCTTTTCAAGGTGAAACAGACTGGCATAAACATGCATTTCCCTTGACTAAGGGAGAGATTTATGAAACGCTTACACTGACTTGTCAGGTAGAGGCCTGACAAGATTATGCCTTCCTGGTCAGGTGCTATTCTTGGCAACTCCCTGTGCAAAGCGTATTTCACTAATGTTGAATGGGGTCTGTTCAGAGAGTCCTTGTTCTTTTTGAACAGCCAGTCATCCTGAGCACAGCAGCATGCCTAATGTAATATCTTCAAGCATTAGGCATAATGTACTTGATTATGATGAATAAATATTTAATTTTCTTTATGCTAGTATGCACAAGAGACACAGAAAACTCCCAAGGAAAAGATGCAACTCTCATTAAGGAAAAAGAGGGAATCCAGCTTCCCAGTCGGGGTTCCTGGCTATGGATGAGACTGTAATCCTCATACTCATTCATGTAATTCCAAACAAAGGAACCAGGAATACCAAAGTAGAAGTTTCTGAGATGTATCTGAATATGTGAGTTTTAGGTTTAATTAATAAATGACAGCATGGTGCAGTGGTTTAAGTGTTGGATTAGGGCTTTGGGACACTAGGGTTCGAAACCCCACTTGGTCATGGAGACCCATTGAATGATTTTGGACAAGTGACACTGCTTAAGGGCCTATGCAGACTGCCAGAAATAATCCAGCTTGAGTCCACTTTAGCTGTCCTGGCTCAGTGCTAAGGAATCATGGGAACTGTAGTTTATTGTGGCACCAGAGCTCTCTGACAGAGAAGGTTAATTGTCTCAGAAAAAACTACAGTTCCCATGATTCCCTAGCATTGAGCCTGGACAGTCAAAGTGGTCTCATGCTGGATTATTTCTGGCAGTCTGTATAGGACCTTTGAATGAGTCACATCAAGAAAACCCAATGATAGGATCACCACAAGTCAGAAACAACTTAAAGGCAAACAACAACAATAAATAAGGAAGTGTTTATCTGGATGAAAATTTAAGTTGCTTAGGCTGTGGTTTGAATGGAAATAGCCGAATTTTCCTTTGATCTTTTTTTTTACACCTTTGCAAGCACTGTTTTTAAGAACATGTGTGAGTTATTGTTCAAAGAAAGCTGTACAAGTGATACTTTGAATAGAAGAAACCAGGTCTGTTTTTAATATTTCATATTTCATAACACAGTATTTTTAGTCCAATCAAAGAAATTTAAAAGGCAGCCAGTAAACTGATTAGGGATGTAGGTAGTCATTTGTTATTTATCACACTAATGGATGGAAACAAAATGAAATTTGGTCATTAGCCAAAGTTTATATTGGGGATTAGAGCAATAACTTTTTTTTAATGAGCAGAAGCTATTTCCTGATTTTTGTTGATTGCCTCTTCTTGAAGCCTTGTGTATTGTATGATAGGGTCCTTGGTCTTGAAGAACAGGTTTTCAGTTATACAGAGCCCTGCTGGGGAATGGGTAGATAGCAGTGCTCTGTTCCATGAGCAAAACTATAGAAATTGGGATCCAAGTAATTGTTCCTGAGCCTCCTATAGAACCTCCTATAACAGACCTTCTTAGTTGATCTCTGGCTCCAAATCCCAGTAAAGCTACTCCTCATCATTGTCCATTACCATGGAGTTTTAAAAAGTTTCCCCACACCCATATCTCACAAACACAGAAAACCAGATCTAGAATTACACTTCAGAATGGGTGGAGCCAAATATCAATTCATATAGACCATGAAGTCCTAAAGGGTGGGTGTTGATGTTCCCCAGATCAACAAGGTGAGGAGACACTATTAGTACCCTTGCGGAGCTCAGGAAGGGAGACTTGGGGCAGCAGGGCAGGTGTTACAGCAACATAATCCCAATTCTGTGCCAATATCCTGCCTTCAGATATACCCATTCAAGATTAGAAAACAGTAGAATGGATAAGGTGGAATCACAATGGCCTACTCTTCACACACATACCCCAAGTCTCTCTTGCTACATGGGAAACCCAAGAAAACAAAGAGAGCTTGCCCCATGGCCAGGCAGGTTTCCATCATGTAAACCAGATAGGTACATTCATTCCAGGTCAAAGCCTGGATGGCTGTTTTTTTTTCCTGTTCATCAGTTTGGGATTTAGCAATAGTACTTTCAATCCAGGGAATTATCATCAAGGTTATACAAGCTCTCTTGCCATGATGATGATGATGATGATGATGATGATCCCACCCTTTCCCCAAAACTGGGATTCAGAGCGGCTTACAAGATTAAGAACAGTACTATTTTTTTCAAAAAAAGTGTTATATTAAACAGACTTAAATTATTACAATAACAAAACAGATTGCATAAAAGAATAAAATATAGTTACAAGATAAATCTCTTTCCTCAAATCACTGTCCAGTTGTGTGTTTGTAAATAAGTACGTGTGAATGAATTATGTGTTATAGAATTAACTACAGGCCATCTGGAAGGGGGGTGAATGACAATGTTTGGGAGGTATGAGTGGA